AGTGCTGTTTGGAACGTCGAACAAAGGTGTCCATCGTAGCAAGTTTGTTTGGCACAGAAGTGCAGACATCGAAAGGTAGTAGGAGCGGCGCGCTTTCAAACACTCCTGCCGGCGAATGTGAGGATTCAGACAGAAAAGGCACAGACATATGTACGTATAAGGAAGAAGAGTCATCACGGGAGACGCCGCGAATGCTTGGCATACATGGCAACGCCATTACCCTTAGATACGGGCTGGATGGATAAATATAGTAACTATCTCCCTGTTATCCAGCTTCTATATGCACGGTGGTCCTGAAAGCTTAGAAGAGGGCTAGAATGGTTCACACTGCCTGAGGTGAAGGCTGTGTGCTCAAATTCCACCGTATTTTCAAGTGGTAGTTTGACGTCACATTAGAATGAAGCATGAAAGCGTGGGGGAAGGGAGCGGTATGGCTTGCAGGTGGAAGCATTTTGCACTTTTCATACTTCTCATCATCGTGTTCATTGCTTTACAACAGAGCTTTTGACGAATAATCTCTACAGACTGTTTTGTTATGATAACTGCTGTTTAACGCCGCAGTACGCGTTCCGAATGTTATCACAAGAATGCTGAGTTGTGGGCAAAAGTCGTGCCCCAGGCGGGAGTCGAACCCGCACCTCACGCTTTCCGGGCGAGTGCGCTATCCGTTACGCCACCAGGGCCGCTTTTTACCCTCTCAGCTTGACGGCTTTTATGCCGTAGCCTATCAGCACTCACACGTTTATTTTGGTGAGCCGGTCAGCCGTAATCGGTGGGATATCGGCATGAAACCGCGAGGCCTAAGGCTTTAGATGTTTTTGAAGCTGTTTTGTTATGATAACTGCTGTTTAACGCCGCAGTACGCGTTCCGAATGTTATCACAAGAATGCTGAGTTGTGGGCAAAAGTCGTGCCCCAGGCGGGAGTCGAACCCGCACCTCACGCTTTCCGGGCGAGTGCGCTATCCGTTACGCCACCAGGGCCGCTTTTACCCTCTCAGCTTGAGGGAATCAGACGGCTTTTATGCCGTAGCCTATCAGCACTCACACGTTTATTTTGGTGAGCCGGTCAGCCGTAATCGGTGGGATATCGGCATGAAACCGCGAGGCCTAAGGCTTTAGATGTTTTTTGAAGCTGTTTTTTGTTATGATAACTGCTGTTTTAATCGCCGCGCAGTAGCCGTTTCCGATGTTATGACGCCACAGATATGCTGAGTTGTGGGCAAAAGACCGTGCCCTCCAGGCGGGAGTCGAACCCGCACCTCACGCTTTCCGGGCGAGTGCGCTATCCGTTACGCCACCAGGGCCGCTTTTACCCTCTCAGCTTAACGGCTTTTATGCCGTAGCCTATCAGCACTCACACGTTTATTTTGGTGAGCCGGTCAGCCGTAATCGATGGGATATCGGCATGAAACCGCGAGGCCTAAGGCTTTAGATGTTTTTGAAGCTGTTTTTTTTATGTTATGATAACTGCTGTTTAACGCCGCAGTACGCGTTCCGAATGTTATCACAAGAATGCTGAGTTGTGGGCAAAAGTCGTGCCCCAGGCGGGAGTCGAACCCGCACCTCACGCTTTCCGGGCGAGTGCGCTATCCGTTACGCCACCAGGGCCGCTTTTACCCTCTCAGCTTAACGGCTTATGCCGTAGCCTATCAGCACTCACACGTTTAACTTGGTGAGCCGGTCAGCCGTAATCGTGGGATATCGGCATGGAACCGCGAGGCCAGCCTAAAAACAACTTCAAAAAACTCTTAAAGCCTTAGGCCCTCGCGTTTCATGGCCGAATACTCCCAACCGATTACGGCTGACCGGCTCACCAAAATAAACGTGTGAGTGCTGATAGGCTACGGCATAAAAGCCGTTCAAGCTGAGAGGGTAAAAGCGGCCCTGGTGGCGTAACGGATAGCGCACTCGCCCGGAAAGCGTGAGGTGCGGGTTCGACTCCCGCCTGGGGCACGAACTTTTGCCACGAACCGCATTCTTTGGTGATCTACAGACTCGTGTCGAAAATTTCAGCAATTTTTTCTATCGTCAGGTGGATTTTTCTATCTACTTCTATTTTCTATTGCTCAGTGCATGGGCACAGACGATTGGGGAAGTAGCCGAAAGCGCAAAATACCGCCTTCCCCGAACAGCCCTACTGCGGCTGTTGGAAAATTTCTTTGGTTTGATGGTGTTACCATCGCAGCACGACATGGATCCCCACCGGCGTTGATGCTGATGCTCCGACAACGGGTTAGTAAAATTCTGAATTGGACTGGCAATTCAATAAGAGCTTCCATTTCAAAATTCCAATTCAAAAGTTCATGTGTTCCAAAATTGCGACAGAAAAGCTATTTGTGGAGCCGTTCGTCTGGGCATTGTGAATATTTCGCATTTGGAAAAGAGACTCGTTTAGTGCTGGTTGTAAAAAAGAAACAACACTAGAATACCCACGCAGGGCAGTTCGGCGACGGGCAGGGCAGTTTGCCGTTTTTTCACGTGGTGGCTCGAGTTCTTGCTCCAGGCTTAGGTACAACATCGTTGTCTTGAAGACACATCGTGGGTAGTACTTTAACCTGCTGGGGAGGGGGGGGGAGGTCGTATTTTTGGTCGTTGTTAGAGAGGGGGTTGTTATGTGCGCCTTTGAGAAAGTTGTTCGCGGTTGGAACATACTTTTCTCTCGGTTGTTGTCCCCTCCCCTCGCTCGCTCGACGGAAAATTTTTGGGTGAAAACTGGAAAATATGGTCGGGAATGTTGGAAAAGACTGGTAGGAAGTTGGGAACTTGTAGGGAAGTGGTAAGCAGGTGGTTGGGTGCAAAGGGGTGGGTCGTACTGTACATCACATTTCACACATCCTACGTGCTACCTGGCTCCAGCTTCACAGGAGTTTCACTAGATTTTACCAAGTACAACAGACAGCTACGTGAAGGGCTAGTGCACCAACGCCCTCCCGCTCCACGTCGCTCGAACTGTGTCCCCTGTGAGCTTTAAGTGTTTGCAGTATCTGCGAGTTGGACTTATTGTCGACTTCCAGCACGCAGACTTGTATCGTTTAGCAGGATTTTGTTTGTTTTTTTTTGAAAATTTACAAAGCGTTTCTCGTCAAAATCCTGTTATTAGGCATTTATAAAATTGATTATTCTACTAGCGCCACAAACGTCATCAGTGAGCAGTGAAGAAGGAATGTCGAAACAGATGAGCCAGTATAGTTGAAGACAACGCCGGAAAATGCCAGAGGAGCGTTGGAACGAGGTCGGCAATAAGAAAAACGCACGTCGTCATATCTTCCCGCCTGGTAAGCGTGCAGCGACTTCACTGAACATCAGTAATCTTCCTTTCTTAGGTCGCGTACTTTTAAGACAGACAGCAATAGGTGCATGGTGCTTCGTCTTAGCGTCTAGTGAGATTCCAGGTTTTGGTAATTGGGGAAGGAGCTGTGTTTTCTTTTTTATTTCATTTATTCAATACACACTATATATAATGACATGCCTAAACGGGCTCCGAGAGGGAGTTTGGCCACACCCCTCTCAGCCGTTCCATCGATGACGTTGGCGTTAAGCGCCTGCCCTCAGCCATTTTGCACACTGCCTCTGAATAAGCCGATATGATGCAAGTGGTGGCTACTAGGGTGCAGCTTTCATTTAGCAGCTGTGCCCCTCCATGAAGGGAATGTCATTTTAGGGTACCAATTATCCAGGACTGGCAGAGCTTTAGCAATTTCTTTGAAGTTATGGGCAATGCGCCTGAATACCTTCAACAGTAGCCTGAGTACTGCCGATTTTTGATAATTCAAGCTGTTACAGGCAACAACGCCAAGAAAGATGCTACCGGTGCGGGAACAGCTGCGGGAGGTAAGAACCTTAGCCTGCTATAAGTATTGTTTTCGCTAGTAGATGATAATTACAGAAAGCGCTCCGCGTGGTACGTATACTGGTGGCCGACAACGACAAATGAAAGAACGTCATAAGAATGCCTTCAGACAACGAGGAGCGGATCGCAAGATGCGCGGCGCTTATTAATTGGTGTTAACATCGAGATAAGTCTGTGATATAAAATTTTTATTTCAAATATTCCACACAGAACTTCATTTGAAATTCAACATCCATCACTGCATGGTAAATTCGAAACAAATTTTGTAACACTACAGTGTTGCTTTACTCTTACTGGGTTATTTGAGGGCTCCATACAGCGTGGCTGAAAAGCAGAAGCACCTGAGTTGGTGTACATACAAAGGTCTGCCTTTTACAAAGTGAATTCGGCTTGCACCATAGTTTACACATATTCGAATTCTTTGGTTGGTCGTATGAAAATTCACGGGGTAGGAAAAACGTATGCGCTTTATGAGGGGGTATCTGGTTATTAAATCGCGGAGCACCGCTAGGTCGCCTCAGTGGTGGGCGTGGCCACAGCCGTTGGGTACGAGTTGTGTTACCTCTCGGCTCTTTCAGGTTGTTGAAGGGATCTCGACGGATGGTCCGTTAACTGTGTATTTGTTAAGAACCCCGAGACCAGCGCAAATTCCTTGTTCGGGCTAGAACCGATGGGTATGGTAATGCAACTATGAAAGTTCGCCGCACGCGACATGAGGCGCGTGATCTGAATAGCTCACTATAGAACCGCCTGCATGCTCAGAGGATCTACGAACAATTTAGATTCTAGCCCTTTAATCAGGTCAACTATCTGTTTTCTCTGCACTCTCTTCTCTATTCTCTGACACTGTGGACTCGAACTTCCAATTTTCCACACATAAGTAGCTCATCCACTCCGATGTCCTGCCCTTCTTACCTGTAAAAGTCCATCTCCTAGCTCGTGACTCACCTTTCAGCCGCAGTCCTCTAATTCTGTGCGCCCCGGCCTCCCGCGCCACGAGGACCACCGAAAGTAATGGTTGTCACCGTAATCTTTCGAAGAGCATATTACGTTTGCGCGTTTATGGAGTCCCAACGGGTTCGTTCTGGTTTTGAGGAGGACAGTTTTTCCTTGGCTTGAGTTTTCCCCTCACTTGGTTTTTCTTGTTTCACGCGCATTTTGTTTAGCCTTTGCTCCAATCCTCTCAGTCGGCGGCTCTGTGTTGTTGTGGTAGCTATGCTCGCCTTTCGTAGCTACACTGGTCACGCGGAATGATCAATCCCTCCTCTTCTTGCTGTAGAAGGTCGAACGATTGAACCCAGAGTCGCCGCGATTGCAGGTGTCGTCCGCTAGTAATGGTGAATACTCCACTATTAAAGAGTCCTGGTGGTGACGAACCTATCTATGGCAGCGTAGGCTCGACGCTTCATCCGTTGTAGATCAGTGAAATAATCGAAAATGCGCACGGGACGACTTTCTCGGCCTATCCGATCCGATCTGATGAATTGAGTCCGTGGAAGAGGCAGCTTGGTGAAACCAAAAAGAATTCTCCATAAGAGATATTGTGAAGCTTATATACAGCGGTGGACGTGGCTATTGAGCCCTGCAGCTCTGGAATGAAACATGTTTTCAGCCCCCGAGAAAATTATGTTTTGTAGAACCACGATTTTCCAGGGTGCCGCTGAGGAAAGAAATTTCTGAAGAATATAAACATAGCATTTTTTACTCACCATAACTTACTGAGTTAGTCGCATCTGTTGCGACAGTTGTCCTAAAGGAAGCTTTACGAGTGTCCACATATTACCGTGCACAGCAACAGTTCACGTGCTGTCAAGAAGATAAATTCCTGAAATGACGTTGTCAGAACTCCATCGAAGAGCAACTCTGATCGCTTTAACGTCCTTTATACATTGCTGTGATGTTGTTGTCGTCTGTGTGAAAGCAGACTTTACTGGCCAGGCCAGGATGACGAGAGTGGCCAGGTGGTGAAGGTCGAGTCAGTGTACAGCAGCTACGGATGATAACATTCTCATAGTTCACAGAAGCTACAATCCCACAATGCTCGCACCAGACTGAATCGTGCTAGAAGCCCCTGAAAGCTGAAGAATCGCCACAGAGATTGTCAAGAAGGCCTGGATCGGTTCAGATTGCACTCAGCTGGAGGTGAGCCCGGAGTGAAAAAATATCAATCCTTCCAACATTCAGTGCCAAACAGGCGAGACAGGACAACTCATATCTTGCAGGCAAAGCGTCGCTGATAGCGCCTACTATAAAGCGCGTCTTCTTACGATTTTCTTGTCACATACCCTTGACTTCGAGTGGAAGGAACTCTCGGTCTTCCCGTGTTCACCGTTCAACACCCTGAGACGGCGAGGGAGGACACTCTTTATCCTGGAAGGGGAAAGCGTAGCTGCGTACTTTTGGGAATGACTGCTTCTGCATTTCTGAAGGGATCTTCTCGTTTCGAGGCAATTATCATGACCTTTGTCCAGCACAAGAGAGAACGACAACTGTGTTCCTAGGTCATGTTTGTACGAGCTATGCTTGCAGCCACGCCTCCCAATCTCTGGGATATGAGATGTACATCTTTTTGTTACGTGGTGTTCGTGATTACTGTATTTCCTGGTTTTGGCTCGAGCTGCAGAAAAAGTCGCTGTGAAATCGAACGCTCTGTGCACGCTTGCACTTTTCAACCACCCTGTAAATGAGATTTTTTTTCCTTATTGGGAACCTTGGAGGGGACTCTTTTCACGTGCAGTACTCATTCTTCGTTTAAAATCAAAGATGAATGGCCAGTTCGCTCCTCACTTTATTCATCTTTGTAGTTTTCACTTCAGTTGGAATACTCATATTGAAGCCTTGAGAAAAAAAATCCGAAAAAAACACAAATGAAATTGTAAACATTAAACCAAAATAAGCATAGGTATGGAACAGAGAAACCCATACAACGAAATATTAAGGAAAATTAAGGGACAAAATGAGCATGAAGATTGGTGACGTCTGCTGGAAATAACTATCATGAGCACTGATAAGTCAGTGTAAGTCACGGCAGCGCTATGCGCTTAAAAAATTAAGTGGCGCAGCTCGTTGGGGGCGGGCTACTCAGCTAAGCTTGTTTAGGCCACCTTATGAGGGCCTATAAGTAAGTTACTGTCATCAAAATGGTTAACTTAAACAATTTCGCAGCTTCGAAGGGGTTGCAGGGGCTATTTTGCACTTTCATTGCTCCAGTAGTTCCGATTTGCATACTTCACCTGGTGAAACCTGTCAACTCACGAAAAGGCTCTCTAAATGGGTCGACACATCGATGGGAGACAAAGTGCACAAAAAGTGCAAAATGCTCCCCCCCCCCGTCGCCGAAGTGCGTCTTCGCAGGGTTTACAGGTTTGATCTTAGGCCTGTCAGTTAACACATGAACCAACAAAAAAATTAGCGAAAGTGCAAAATGCCCCTCCGAGCCGTTTTAGCTGTAGAAACAAGAGGACAAACAAAGAATGTTTGGAGCCACCCAATAAAGCAGACGCTGAAGCTGGATCTACCTGTTAGACAATTGATGCTAATGGAAGAGAAAGATTGACGTCACAAATATTGGACTAAACATAGATAGCGAAAGATGCTCTGGATGAGACAGCTACCTTGACAGGATAGCAGACCCTACAACTGGGCATTTACTGTCAGGTCATCACGGGGTATCATGCTCATATTCGAATGGCTGCTTCCATTTTACCCGATTTCTGGGTACAGGGTGCACTATAAGTGCGCGGAAGACGTCGAAGTATGAGCGCTACTTGTATGGTCGCACGCGACCTGTGCGCGGGAAAAGGTTCTAGACAACTGTACTCAAATACTCTTTATTCAGCATACATCATCCACATACACTGGTCATCACTGAAGTCAGTCGGGGCGTGTCAATGGGGTAGGGTGAGCTCGGCGCCAGACCGATTTCCATCAATCGCTGAGGCTTCGAGCGTTTAATGACTGGTGGGAAAATGGCTGGCACCGCGCCAAAAAAACTGACGAGTCGCTGACACGCCCCGAATGGTTTCAGTGATAAAGGCTCTATAGTGCATAAGCCTGGATGCGGCCGCGGCGTTCAAGGAGGTAGAGTGGCGCCCAGAGGCGGCTGTATTTTCTGCTAGTGTCAGTCCACCTCTTTGACACGCCCCGTTGCATTCAATTTCATGCATTTATGTGAAATTGAACAAAAAACACTCAAAGAAAAGCGGAAAAACATTCACGATAAAAGTACCCACGAAGTTACTTAGCTTTCCCAAGGAGGAAGGGGGCCGGTGGGTTAGGCACACCCCAGAAAATAGGGTTAATCACGAACGAATGTCTGTTCGCTGTATGCAGCACGAATGTGCAAAATCCCGTGGTGACCTGACTGTACACACCCAAGGAAATCAACATTTAATAAGAGAAGAGGAAAATGACAATTTACAGACTTTACACGGCTATCTTGGATTCAGACCAGGGTACAGTATCGTTGAGAGAATCCCTTGAAAGGGTCGCACTTGGTCGTTGGGAAGAGCGGGTTATATTTGGCATTGACGGAAATTTTCCTGAGCCCTTTGAGGGAGGGTCGTTTAAAACCGCTGTTTCTCCCATTCCGACGCTGTACCCTGATCCAAGCAATAAGCAGCAATAAAGCGTATGTGAAAAGAGTCCCAGCTCTGAATTTTATTATGGTAACCACGGATGATATTAGTATTTAAGGCATGTATATGTTCTGTGCGGATAATGCACAGTTATTTCCTGCTCATATTCGTACCGTTATACACATGGTGTCAATATGTATCAAATTTGAAGTTCATGCGATTGGATTGCCATCTGGGCTCATCCGCGTTGGGAGACCTAGAACACGGATAATTACGCTGTTGTGAAGGGAAATCGTTCAGATGACACGTATTTACACTAGGAAACTCCGACATAGTCGACATGAATGCTATCACGTTTACCATATTTGATTCGGTACGCTTCAAGTTCACGTTCTCGTTCCTTTGTGCGAAGTGAGTGTCGATTTTGCATTTCCGCACGCTTCAACTCTTGCTGCTGAAATCAAGAGCATATGGTACAATCATTTGGTATTCGGGCTAAAGTGGTAGCAGGGTGCTATGCACGGGGGGGGGCAAAAAAAGTCACTTTTCTTCATTGACATCCGAGTTATAAG